TATATATATATAAAATAAAAATCTGAAGATGGAAAATAAAGAAGGAAAAAGAGGAAATTGCTACCATGTATAACAGTTAATGGCAAAAAAAATATGTCATGTGAAATCATCCAAGAAGAAAAAGAATAGGATAAACGTTGTACCATGTTTGAGGGCTTTGAGTCTGTGGTGCTTACATAGGAGTATTGAAAGCAAAAAGCCTGAGCTATATATGGACTGTGACTAAGTGTGAGCCTGGGGGTGTGTGTGGGGGTGTGTTTTTCTCTTTCTTCAAGTGAAATCCTGGCATTATGGGGAGTAGTGGAGGGTACTCTGTGGCAATCAGCAAAGATCAAACCTTAAAAGGTAATTTTTTGCCTGTTAGAAGACAAGCCTCTGCAAACTAGCCATTATGCCTTAGGACAGTAGAGAAAATGATTAAGAAGGATTCTTGTCAAATGCGTATTTACTGTTAAAGATGGTGACAGATTACAGGGCCTGTATTAATGAACTTGTTAAACAGGCTGTAGAAACTACTGACTCAGCACTGCTTTTTCTCACATCCCCCCCACCCCCTCATCCTTAACTGAGCTTGCTTTGCTTTCTTTAGCCATGTGAACTCTGGCTTGACTTTGTCTTTTTCTTTGCTGAACTATAGACTGACAAAAAAGAAAAAGAGAGAGACCATTTGTCATCCAGCTTCTCAGCCAGCTTTAAAGGAGGTCATTTTTCTTCCAACCCCAAAGCTAGATCACCAGCTCCCTCTCCAGTTTGGTAAGCCAAGTACACACTTAGCTGGAGGTTGAGCTATAGGCAGCTCTGATTGTTCTATTAATTAAATGTGAAATAGTGCAAACTTATTTGGTGATATAAATGTTTTCTCTCTGCAACAAAAAAAAAAAAGTCCTGTTTTTAGAAAAAAAATTCCTACTGCTTTGAGGAAAGGGAAGGAGGAGGAAGATGCTGGTTTCTTCCCTCTTGGTTGGGCTCAGTGCTCACGCATCTGGAGAGTTGCAAAGAGAAGCATTTTGCATGAAAGCTGATCAGATTCACCAGGAGTCCTGCTTGATAGCAAAGAAATAGAGATGCTGTTTTATTTTTAGCTATTGTAGTTGTAGAAGCAATGTGTAGGTGGTGTCCAGCAGAGCATGCATGGTAGTGATTATCGCTCTTTGGTTCCACAGGCATGCGTCAAAGTCTCTGCCTTTTTTGCCTGGCACACCTAAGCAGATAAATTCCCCACCTGGTTCCTCCAAAGTTTCCTCTGCTCAGGCACGTCCTCCTTCTCCTGGCAACATCCGGCCAGTCAAAAAAGAGGTCAAACCAGAGAGTGAGAAGAAAAGATCAGAAAAAGAGGCTGAAAAGGCCAATGACGAGAGGACAGAAGAGAGTAAAGGAGCTTCAGCAGGTACTGGAGAATCTGCAAGTCGAGAAGAGCTTGCTGTCCAGGCAGAGCTCACTCAAGGTAAGGAGATAGCCTCCTTTAGGTTAAGGAACATCTAGAGTCTATTATGCTCTTTCCTTACTTTCTCTGAAACAATGTAGCTTTTAGGAGTTTTCTATCAAACATTAATCTAATTCTACAGAATATTACCACAGATGTATGTTCAGTGAGAAATTTGTGAACAGGTTGAAGCCCTTGTAAAAGTCAAAACAACATGCATGGTGTGACTTCACAGCTCTCTTCTCTGCCCTTTTTGGACTGGGATTTTGTCCCTTACATCATGACACAGCTTCTTTTCAAACCATTGAAGGAGAGTAATAGTGATCTGAAGACAAGAAGCCATTACATAACATAATGTGAGGAGTGAAAATGTCTAGTTCTGCTAGACACTCAGTACAGTTGTGCCAATAGCACCACCAGCTTACCTGTAATATTTCGAGTCATGTCATCATGGGACAGATTAGCAGGATAAAGTAGAATGCAGAGGGGTACCAAGAGGAAGAGTAGAGAAGAACAGGCAGAATTTTTCAGGGAAATGAGTTGTTAAAAAACAGACAAATAAAGAACCCCACACCAACCCTGAAAAGCAGCAAGGCAGAAAAGGATGTATGCACAAAATAAAGTAATGATTGTAAAGTGTAGGAAGGGCAAAAGGTAAATACAAAAATGAAAAGTGTGGGTTTGTTCTAGCAGACATCTTAACCCTGTGTAAATACGGCATAAACCGCTTGTCTTGCAGATGGGATAGAATGACCATTGTGACCACTGGAATTCCCAGGATGGGTTACTTAAGATTCTGAATTTAAAATTCATAGATTCCCCTGTAATTGTCCTTCAGAAAACAGTTTCAAGTATTAATAATTCTACATTTAACTGCAAGATTTGTAGTTGAGAGTTGTTCTTCTGAAAGAAGACCTGATGCAAACTGATTTCTTTTGTTTTAACAAGTTCTGTTACAGTAGTTCCAGTCTGATACCCAAGTCCTACCACATGAAGTGCAATCCCACATGAAGCTAAGAGATTTACAGTAATAAATTGATGCATCTGTCAGCCATAGGCATATAAAGAAAATATAATTGCCATATTAGCATGGGGTTTCACTGCTCTTCTGATAACCTTTGGCCTGTTTCCTTCTAAGGAGAAAGCTCCCGTTTAAAAGGATTTCGGGGATACCACTGAGATAACTTTGCAAATGTTTACGAGTTGTAGGTCCCCAAGGAACTACAAAGTGCAGACCAGAGAAACACACTTGTGCTTGTTTGGCAGTTTACCTCAGGAGGAAGAGAGGCTTGACTTTTTTGCAATCAGTCAATATTTGAGTTTCTGATAAGGTCACTTAGTATGGAAACAGGTTATGTGTGATAATCAAAAGTGAAGTAGTTTGTATTCACAGAAAAAAAAGTGGAGAGGGCCAAAAGAGAAGGATACTACAGTAAATGATGAGCAGCACTTCAAATTGGATGTCTTTTGCCAAAGCTAGAGGAAGTGATGGTTGGGACCAAAGACTGAGACCTTAGGCTAAGCCTTTTACATGTAGGGTTAGAGGACAGGCTTTGTACTGCAGATGGAGGTCCAAACTGCCAAAAAGTAGCCAGTGGTTGAATGCAAGAATCTAGAGAGGGAGAAGTGCAGCATCTGGGGCTGGACAGACACTATTGATATTTCTTGGTCTGTGCTGCCGGTGAACACGGCTGATTTCCGCCAGTTACCTGTACTGATCTTTAATCTGTCTGGTTCAGCTACCTGCTAGCTGTGTAGTCACAGGAGCCCAGCGGTAAGCAGGCATTGATCACTGACAGAGCTATTCAAACTTTTGCAGGCAAATATCACATGATTTTACTAATACCAATGAAGTTTTAAAGGTATTTTGGGTGTGCCTGTGCAAGCTGTTGTCATCTCTTCTGAGAGCAGGGCAGAGGTGCATTAAATGGGCTACTCGTTATGGTGCCAGCTTCAGCACCTGGGGCAAGAAATGAACCCTAAGCAGCACAAAGCTGTGCTCCCTTCAGGAGAGACAGCCCTGCCTTGGTCCACGTTAGCAAATTAAAAAGGGCCAAGGTGCAGGAACTCTGTCATTTATACTATTTAACTATTACAAAGGCTCTGGTGTGTTTCTGATCCAGGCTGTAATTAAAGCCCTACATTTTCTTACCTTCTGTCCCCCGGGCTACTAAGAGCATAAAGGGGTCCCAAGCTTTAAAGTGATCAAATTACCCACCTTTTTTATCTGACCATGCCATAATTCTCTGAGTTCCTAGCTACATCTTGGAGGTTAGCCCAAGCCTGGACTGTTCCCTAGGGATGGACTGAATACCTGTTTTGGTCATGTGAGAGAGTAGTGCTCTGGCTGAGGCTAAACTGTGCCAGTTTACCTTAGGGCTAGAGAACAGGTCTGACTCTTTAAATTACTGGTGTACATGCATCATTTGAATTCAGGGTGAAAGCCCTGGAGCAATTATAGAAAGAGCTGCATAGTTTTTATTTGGCAGAGGAAGAGAGTAGAGAGGTCAGCAAATGTGAGCATTCAGCACAGAGAAATCAATCGAATTTATGTTTGTATACATGATGAGGTGTAGGAGGGGGGAACTGGTGAGGAAACCTCTCCTGGAAATTTAATGAGATGAGGAAAACACTGTAACATGCCAAAGGGTGATTAGAAATAGAGATTTAAATAATCACCTGGCTGTTCCTGATGACTTATTCTACATGTATCTTCCCAGGACCGGAATCTGATTCCATTGACAGTTCAAAGTCTTCCCTGCCAATGTTTGTCTGTTACTAGATGTGCTTACCCTGGGAATGCTTCCTTCAGTTAGCTTGTGGGTTGGTAACAGTCCTTGGCCTCTAGAGAAGAAGTGCAGCTGAGGCATGCTCTACCTGTGCTAGGGAATGCCAGGCAAACTTACGGAAACATGAACTAGTGTTTTACTTGAGGAAAAGCCTGTAACACCTTCTCTACCACGTGGGCAAAGCTACTTCTGGATGCAGAATTTATCTGAAGACGCTATTAAGATCTGAACACAAGCCATAGTTGACCAGTAGTGGCAAAGCTTGTTAAGAAGCTGTGTTCTGGTCCCACAAGTTGTCTCAGGTTGGTGACTGCAGAATTGGTGGTAGCTTGTGTCCTATCCTTATTGCAGATCACTTCAGACAGCTGATGTTTGAAATCACCAAAAGCGACTGGCCTACTGCCAAAAAGTCTGGCTGCGCTCTTCAGATGTAGATTATCAGACAGAAGAAAATATAGCATCAATGTTTCATTTCTACTTTCTAAGTGGGATTTGCTGGGTCAGTGTAACTCCTGATGAGCATACACCAGCATTTATTCTTCTGGCAGAAAAGTTGGCTTAACTTTTCAAAGGTAGTTGCTTTATCATATCCTGTAAAAACAAACTTCACTTATGGAACACGAATCCCTAGCACCTAGAAATATCTTCCACCTCTGAATCATTTATAAAACCACATAAGCTTGAAAAGACTTTACAAAGTATTTGAAACTATTTTCTGTTCCTTTCAAGAGGGTGTCATCCTGGTTATTGTGATATACAAACTAGTTTTTCTTCCCATCTGTTTCAGCAGCCAGCCCACCCTTACCTCCTGCTCTGCCAGCTCTTTCTCCACCCCCAGCCCCCACAAAGACCTCTGCAGGTACAACTGACCCTGAAGAAGCAACAAGGCTACTGACTGAGAAGAGGCGCCTTGCCCGTGAGCAGCGGGAACGGGAGGAGCAAGAGAGGAGGGAGAGAGAAGAGCTTGAAAGGTGAGTATGGACCTCTGCAGTGGAGAAGATCTGTTTTTAGCAGCCTCCTAGCAGATTCTTGTGTATATTCTGTTGTTATACTGTGATACATGAAGTATGGTACTGAAGTGCAGGAGGCATGAGTTCCTCCCTGGAAACAAATTTTCCTGTTGGGATTTTTCGTAGATGCAGTATATATAGCTAAGCAGATCTGTAAGGTTAAAACGTATCCCAAATAGTGCTTTTAAAATAGGACAGAGGAGGAAAGCAGATCCTTGCTGTAGTGATTCTTTGTTTCCCCAGAGATGAGCAAAGCTATAATTGTTTATTGCAGCTAGAGAAAGCTGTCTTCAGCTTTGTGATTGGCACAATGTCTCTTAATTTGAATTGTAAGGTTTCCATTACGGGGGGTGTTTAGGTGTCCAACAGCTGTCTCTTTAAACCTTTCCTCCTCCCCTCCCCCGCTTAAAATCAAGACACACACACACACCAACAGTTTTGGAGGGTAATAGATGTTGTGTCTCATTTTCTACTAGGAAACAGGTAGCCCATCTGTATACTTATGGCTGTGGCTGTGACAAAGTAGCCTATCTTTATACTTATGGCTGTGGCTGCGGCACAAGTTGAGTGCTGCCTTAGGGGGATGCCATGCATCTGGAATTTGTTTGTGTTCTTTAACAGCAACGTTGCTGAACATAGGAACAAGGCAGAGCCAGTTTAAATAGCCTGGCTTTCCAAAAGGCTCACAACATGGTCCCTCTCAAAAAGGCTTTTAAAGGAAACAAGCTGCATAGGAGTAATATGGTGAGTAAATAGTAAGACTGAAAGATGGAAAACCAAAGGTAAAGAATAATCAGCTTTCACAGTGAAAGGAGTTTTCAGTCTCTTTGCAGTGCCTTCATAAATGAACTTGAAGGAAGTTGTGGCCCATGAGATATTGCTGGTCTTTGGTGAGATAAAGCAGTTATGCAGTTTCAGACATACCTTACATTGCTGACATAGAAAATAGAAGCTGGATTGCAATACTGCTAAGCATAAAGGAATGCATGTGTGTAAATAATCCTAACTTAACTCAGGTGGTGGTGGTCTCTGGGCTGGCTATTTCTGAGGGAAGAGATCTTGATTAAAGTTGAGTATATGGAAGTGTCAGGTGAGTAATGGTCAACAAAATAAATAACTTACAAATGAGATGCCTACAAGTTAGTAGAAAATGAGAGCAAAATGAAAATGTCATTCTGAACTATCTAAGGTGAATCTACCTCTTGAATGTTGAGGTTTATGTTTTTTGAGATAGTAAAATCAATAAAACTAGGAAAATAAGTGCAGACAGACATTAAGGAAGATCACAAGTATAGAACAGCTCCTATATGAAAATCTAAACTAAACAAGTGAGGATTCTTCAGCTGACAAGACCCATCTGCCCTCTACTTCTGGGGATACGATAGGTTACAAATTCATAAATAATTTGGGTAGCATCAAAGGTTAAGGGGGAAAGTTATTGACTCTCATAACAAAAGGATGAGGGGGCATTAAGTGAGGTTAAGGGGTAATGTTTAAAAATCAGCAGGATTAGATAGTTTTTTAAAAATTTGAGTCATTGCTCTAAGATAAGATGGGTGCCAAAAATGTATACTATTTCAAAATATGATGAAGTGAAACTACAGAACGAAGTGCTTTGTGAGATGTATTAAAGTTGATGGTACTGTTTCTGAGTCAGAGAGTAAGTGAGTCATAGATTAGCGGAAGCATGTGCTGAAGAAGTATTGGTATTGCATTGCAAAGTTTTTTATGTTCTATTGAGCTTCAACTTTGGCCCCTGCTGGAAGCAGAGCAGACAACTTGTGAATGAGACAGCAGGGCAACTTTTATCCAGCTTTTCTGCTGTGCTGGTGTCTTGGGTCAGGAATCTGGTGGTTTAAGGTTTTTGTCTCCTTTTTTTACTTAATTTTCTTATGCTTGTTTCACAATTGCAGGCAAAAGAAGGAGGAGCTGTCACAGAGGATAGCAGAAGAGAGAGCTCGCCGAGAAGAGGAAGAAGCTCGCAGACAGGAAGCAGAGAAAAAACGAAGGGATGCAGAAGAGGAACGGGAAAAGGAAGAACGACTGCACCGACAGGCAGAGGAGAGAGAACAGAAGGAGAAAGAAGAGATGGAGCGCATTCAGAAACAAGTATGCTTGACTCTTGGAACTTCCCTGCCAGTCTGGTTGGCAGTGAAGTGGTTAAAGCGACACCTCTTATGCAACACTTAGATTAGAGGATTATCTAAAATTTAAGTGCTATATATAAAGTGAATAGGGTTGGGGCAGAGTTCAGTCCGTAGAGTCATTCAAAGAGTAAAGATATTTCTTCTTGACAAAAACATATGGTAGGGAGTTGAGCTTTTGGTTTGTTTTTTTTTTTGTTTTGTATTGTTTGTTTGATTGTTTGGTTGGTTTTTTGTGTTTGTTTTTGTGAGGGTTTTTTGGTTTGGGTTTTTTTTTTCTTTTCTTGTAGAATTTATTTACTTACAAAAAAGTCCTTTCCTATTCCTGATAAATTGTGATTAATAAATTAATAAGGTTGTATCAGGGGATTTTAATGAACAGTGTTATACCAGAGAACTCTTTGTCCACACAGTTATAGGAAGTCTAGATGCCAAGATGACTATTTAGAGTGTTGGAGAAGGGATAGATATTGATCACTTTAATCAAGCTGCATACAGTCCTCCTGAAATCAAGAGTACCTACTCAACAGATGTGAGAGTAAACAAATCAAAATACAATTTTTCAAGTGCTCTCATTTTTGATGGGCACAGTGCTGGTTTACCAACTTCAGGATAGGCTGCAGTAAGCATTCTGGATAGGACTCTTTTTTTTTGCATGGCCCTTTACTTTTTGGGTGTGCTTTCTCAACCCCAAAATTCAGCACTTCAGTCTTCCCCGTCAACGTTTTTTTTTTCTTCTGGTATGTAATTAAATGTATGCTTCTAAAAATGAGTATTTAAAGAATTGTGTTAATCATTGTAACTTAGAAACTGCAGTTCTCTTTTTCAGATGTATGTTGCTTTCTTTGAAATACTAAACTGATTCACATCCCTGGTTTAGCACTCAGAAATAGTGTATGGCCAAGTTTTCTGTGTGTTACAGCCATAACAAATGAACTGTTGCAGTAGTTCCATCATACACCACTGCCACTGTCAGGGAGCAAGGCCTCTCTGCATTATATTCCGGACAAGTTTTGCATTTAATTAGAAAAAATCAGGAATGGAAAGCTTGTGCAAATGTTTCTGTGGCTGTTCGTCCTTTGTGTCATTAAGTGATGCCTCTGTTGGCCAAATAACACATTCTACTGCTTTTGTTTGACTCTCAAAAATATCCACCACACAAAGCATGAGTCTCTTTAATAGTTTCCTGGCTTCTGTTCTAATGCTGAAGGTTAGAAAATTTATTCTTTATTTGTCATCTGCTGTGATTTCATGCACGTGCCCTACAACAGCCACAGAACCAAATATAATGTCCATTGTTTAGTTATGCATCTCTTAAAGCTATGCAAAATATGGACATTAATCAGGTCAGTCTGAAAAGATCATTGGTGACTTCTAAAGCCCGAAAGTGTCTTTTCTGGGTGTTGTAGAGATGCACAGTTAAGCAGATATCAGTGTAAGCCTGTCCTTAAATAATAATAAATTAGTCCTTACTACCTTTTCCCATCAACTCAGAAAGAAGAAGAAGCTCGCCAACGGGAAGAGGCAGAGCGGATTCGATTAGAACGTGAAAAGCATTTCCAAAGAGAAGAGCAAGAGCGCTTGGAAAGGAAGAAGGTAACTCAGTACATGCAGAGAAACTGTAATTTCTTTCGCCTTAGCAGTTTACTTCCACCTCAGCTGTAGAAAGTTATCCATGATAGAAATGTGCTGTCAGAAAAGCTGCAGTCCTTATCTGCATAGCCTGATGTGAATGGGAAGGGAATATCACCAACAGAAACAAATAATTCATCTTTTTTTCAATAAACAGATGCAACTTGTAAATGACAAGCAATTGTGGTTTGGGAGGGAGATTTTTAAATTAATGACAGTGAACATTATTTTACCCCTTTACATTTCATTGTAGAGGCTTGAGGAGATCATGAAGAGAACTAGGCGTGTAGAAGCTATAGATAAGGTCAGTGCTGCTACTTAACACGTGTAAATATTGGAAACATTTCATTTCTTTTCCCCAGTGCCATTTTTAATTTACAGAACTGTGCTTCCTTTGTAGAAAATCAGTGACCAGCAAAATGGACATATATCAAAGGCAAATATTACTGGAGAAACAGGTATTGTGTTTAACTGTGCCCTGAGTGCAACAGGTGAATAAATGCCTACTAAGCACAATGATTTGAGATACAATTCTGAAACTTGTCACAGTAATTGCAGAAAAGAAAACCATGAGAGGACTAGAACTGAAATCTTGGCAAACACAATTTAGCCTTTCTGTATGAGTAGTTAGCCTTTACTAAATGATTCACCTCTTTTAACAACTTTGTCACATCAGTGTTTAACAAGAGTAAGTTGCCTACCAAGTTTATTTATGAAGTGAAAAGAAATAAAGTACTTTCTGTTTCTGATCACAGAACAGTTGGACACATGTTTAGTGTTGCAGATGTAGTTGTTGCAGACTTATTCAATTTTCTTAAAGGATTATTTCATCTCAGTCATCAAAACAAATTGTTCATTATTATAAACATCTCCCTGCGACTTTTTGTCCATATCTGCTGCCTTATTCACTTTGTCTTAATTTATTCCCAAACCTCATTTCCCCCCAAATTCAGCTCCTACAAAAGCTTAGTCTTTCTGTCACACCTGCACACTTAGTCTTCTGTTCTGTTTCATCTTTTTTCCCTTGTGATTGTAGGTGAAGCTTTATATAAAACTTTAATATTTGCAATGAGGGAGGATGGGGGGGAATTTAGCTCATATTCAACAATCATTAACTATAAGTTAGCACTATTTAAAGATACTGAAGTCAAGCTATCAAATGGCTTATCCTATTGTAGCATAACATGTTAAATGACATTGTTCTTTGTATTTGAGTAACAGGGAAGACAACAGCACTGGCTGACGTACAACTTTTTTCTAGATGTTTAAAGTGAACGCTGTGTTTAGCACTGCCAGGAAACATTTTGGCACAGATTTCATTATGTGTGTTTGGAAGTTGTTTACATATTATCTTGGGAGGGATGAGGGGCTGGGGAAGAGAAGGTGCTATAAACCATTTAAATGTTTCCTGAAACTATACATGGCTCCAGTAGAAGACAAGTAGTCAGTTTCCTAAGGCAGAGGAGAATTTGGACCTCCATTTCCCCAGGCCTCAGGGAAGGCTGGAGTCCTTGAATGACTGAAGAAAGAGAAAACTGCCCTCACCCTTAGGGCTGCTCTACTGTTTGGCTTTACTTTATCTAGGTATGCTATTGAATCAAAGGTATGAATTAACAGAGATATTTCAGCCAACTAACTTTCCACACTATGCGGTAATAGACTTCTGGCCATAAAAAAATGGTGATTTTTTTTTTTTTTTTTTTCTTCCCCAAAAGTATTTTTTTAGTCCTACTGTTTGGCAAAACCTGAGAAGGCCTTTACATGAATGGCTGAATTGCACAACGAAATAAAATCCATCACCTTTTTGTCATTTGTTTGGCCTCTGCTTAAAAATAGGAGCTAGCCCTACATCTCCAAAGCAGAGCAAGTCTATCTTCTGCCCTTTTTTTTTTTTTTTTTTTTTAAATGTTATATCTGGTGTATTTTCTTCTTACATTGTAGAAGCACCAAGTCTGTATTTCTAATACTCTCCTTACAAAAACTTACCAAGGATCAGGCTAAAACATTTGGTATAGAAGACTTCAGCCCAAGATTTTAAGGCATAGCAAAACAGACCAGCTGAAGAAGTGGCTTAGCAGAGGAGGTTTTGGGTAACCAACTTAAATGTGTCCAAGCCTATGAATACTAAATTGTCCTTGCAACTATTGTAACAGGTGCTGGTATCGATAGGGTGCAATTGCTTCCTTTTACTGACTTGTGTGTGAATTAGTGTGGCTGTATACAATCATATACAATGCAGAAGGCTGTAGTTGTACTCTACAACATTTTATAGTAGTGATTTGGTACTTGCCGGAAGAAGTATCCTTTCCATGGAGATTTATTTCCTCTTGGTTTCCTTTTGGATTACAGTCAGAGATCAACACTGGAACTAAGAAATACCAGAGTATGGAACTGATGATGTCCCAGTGTTGTTCTAGTCTCTATTGCTGCTTGAAAAGTGACAGCATAATATACTGTCAGATATCAGTCTATTTTGACCACTGGCTTACATGTTGGAATTGTGTGTATCATTGTAAAATGTTTGTTCTTGTCTGTTAAGCTACAGCTTTGAAATCTGTGGCATTTACTTTGGACCTGAAATAGGGCTTGTGTGCCAAAAAACTTGATGAAGGAGGCGGGGTGGGAGAGGGAGAGGCGCGAGAACTCTTTTTAATCTGTAGCTTGCCTTGACTGTTCTGTCTTCTGTAGGAAGTGTTTTAGCCTAATCTGCAGGTAAATGATAGTGTTCTTTCTCTAGTCGTAACAAGTCCTGCATCTCCCTTGGAACCTGCAGGAGGACCTCAGCTTCAGCATGCAACGCCATCTCCCTACAACGGGAAACCAGCCACCTGCACGCGTGTGATTGTCTCACATCAACCCCCTGTAAATATGGACAGGTAAGAACAGCACAAAGTTTTGGAGGATGACTAGAGCATGAGCGTTACTAGAGTGATAAATTATTTTGAGATCCATATATTCATTAAGTAAATGAGACAGCTGTTCAATCTGCCTTGTTTCCTATTTATTTTTATCTTTTCCTCGACACAGAAAAGACCTTTATCATCTTTCACGTAGCAGTAACCCATTTTTGCCAAATGATAGGGAAGAGTCTTGTGAAAATACAGCATGTTCTTTGCAGTGGAGATCTGGAACAACATGTCGTTTGTCAGCAATTATTATGTAAATTGAAACTTAATGGAAAGGGCAATTTTTTTCTGTTCCTTTCCATGAATTAAGCTTCATAAAAACTCTGTATTTTCAGTGCTGGTTTTCTTGATTGGAATAATGAACAGTGTGCTTCCAGCCTAGATGTTTCAATTTCTGAACTGTTTGAAGTATTAGCAAGTTTTGCTTACAGAGCAAAAGTCCCTCATATATAGAACTATTCATGTTGGATTTACATTTAAGAAGATTCTCTATAAGGAGAATTTGGGAGGCAAACATTTAACATGAGGAGCTCTCTGTAGCCATGAAGCAAGTCACTCAGACTTTGAGAAATGGTTGAAATGCTTGAAACCTCAGTCAACTGAGTGAAGTCTGTTGCATAAGCATGAGCTGTCAGTTATTTCAATTTTAGTAATGCAGAAAGCAAAATAATCCTTTAGTCCTTTCATGTTTTATGCAGGTAGTGCCAGAATATGCGTGGAAAAACTTGAATGTGAGAAGCCGTCTCACAGTCTGTTATGGACAGTATGCTTAAGGGTGTGATTGGCACTAATTGAAGGAGAAGTTTGCCCTCTCTTGGTCCCTCTGTATGCCTGGGGGATCTTAGCCTGCTGTCAGGCTGACAAGGATGCTCCTGCTGAGAGAAGTTCTGTCAGTGACACTGAGCGCTGAGCTGTATTGGATAAGCTGCACAGAGCTGCCTCACAATTGCCTTGGGCAGCTATCAAATGTTAATCACTCCCAGCCTTACATGCACCTTGATGTTTGTAATATAAAAGTGCCGCACTAATAAATGCTGTCCTGTAGCATTATAATCTATGTGGAAGGAACCTTGGAATGGCCAAAAGGGAAGAATGAATAAATGAGGTTGAGTAACAGCGACATAAGTGGAAGTGTGTATCAGGCTATGGAAGGGGAAGCTGGCATGCCACGTTGGAGTGTGGAGGGATTCTCTTAGAGGTACTTCCATGCTGACTGGGAAGGTGAAGGCTGAAGCATTTGGTAGCATCCTGGTGTAAGCTTAGCCCAGGTAGCTTAAAAAACTGTTGTAAGGAATACACAGCAGCGTAGATTTTTATCCCATGTTAAGAGCCACAGGTGCCAACACCACTGCCAATGCATCTCATGTGCTGTGGTAGTGTGACATCTAGGTATACCTACTCTTGTAGCATACACACAGCAGCAGGTGGAGATGGTCTCTTGTGTGAGCACCTCACTCCAGCCCAAAGACGAATTTGGTTTTTGTCTGGAAAAGACTTGAACTTGTCCTAAGGGCAAGATTGCTCAAATTTCTGACTAAAACTTAAAAAGGCTTTGCCTTGGGGACTTGTGGCCTGTGTTTGTATGGGCAAGAGGAGGGAGTAAATACGCTGTTCCTGCTTTTGATCAGCAATCATCTTGTACTGGAACTTCATTAGCTTTCCAAGACAATTGATCTTCATAAACCCTAATGAAAATGCTGTGATCTGCTGCATTATTTACTGTATATCTATTGTCAACAAATATGATTAATAAGCATTATTGCAGATGATTGGTGCAGTCATCTATCCCACATAATAGTTTGTCAAAATTTTTGTTAGTATTCCTACTCCTGTGTTTTAAACTAACGAACATTAATCAGTTTTCTTTATACTTAAAGCTTCTTCACTTTGCATCATGAAAGAAAAAAAAACATACACACTTGCTTGTGAATTGAGCTGTTTTCCCATGTTAGCACTCAATGTTTTCAAATAGATCTTACAAGAATTCTTGATTCCTGGAAGCAATTTCCTTTTTCATAGTTGTCTTGAGTTAAAATGATGTGTCTGAACATGAACACGATTTTTGTGGTAGGCAGTTTTAAGTGGTGCTGTAAGGGTTCAGATTTTGCCATTTATGCTTGATCTGAGTGTCTTCTTCACAAGTAAATTCAGTTAACCAATATAATGCTCAAATGCTAATTAACAATAATGAATTATTACTGGGGAGGGAGGCAGGGAGTGACCTTATATCTGTCCTAAATGCCTGTGGTTAGAAGACTCACAGCTGAACTCGGATGAAGATATTTCTCGATCAGGTGCAGTACAGTGGAAAAGATAACACTGAATGTATTTTAAAATGGAGCATACCATGGAAATTTTCCAGTTAGATACTAAAGCATGTAGAGTTACTAAGAAAGCTGGTAGTTCCTGAGTACTAAAATATTATTAATGGCACATTAACTTCTGGCTAAATCCTGGGGTTTCATGTTTTTTTTTCCAACAAGTGGAAAATTAATTTGAAACAGTCATTTGGAAATAAGATATAATATCAAAAAGGGTATCTCCACTGCTGCATCGGACACTGAGACATTGCTAAGAATGTAACTTAAGACAGTATGAACAGCTTTAGCAGGTTAAAAGTCTATTACATTTTGTGTTCTTCACTCAAATAGCCTGTAGCAGTCACTTCGGGAGCAAGTGTAAAGGGGAAAAAAGGGAAGGACCAGGAGATCGTCTGGCCAGTGAAGGGTTACTAAACATTGTGGTCCAAATGCAACCATAGGCTCAAGTAGTCCCTAAGCTGCTAATTACCAGAAGCTGGAGGGCATACCAATCTCCTAGGAATTTGTCTAATCTGCTTTTAAGCTTATGGCCTCCAAGACGTCCAGTGGAAATTAATTCTGCAGTTCCATTTTTTTCTCTTTATTTCTTCTAAGTTTGATCCCTAGTAATTTGGTGGAGCAAATAGCATAAAATATAAAGGATTTTATAGCATAAAATTCTGAAGAGTCATAGTCATAGGTTTCCATTTTTGTACGGCCTTTGTGACTGTATAGACTCCTCTGTCTCAAAAGACATCAGTCAAGTCTGAATCATGGTCAAACTCAGTGTGTAGTACTGGCAGTGCAATGACAAATATAAAAAACTGTTTGGTTATGAAGTCAGCTGATCAGTTGGGTAGAAAAATCAATGTTTGCAGAAGCAAGAGGCTTCTTCATTGTACCAATACCTGCTGAAGTGTTATGCTGTTCAATCTTCTATGAATGAGCAATTGCTCTCTTCCCACCTCTTCCTTACCCCATCCAACACACCTTCTGTAACCTAGCTCTGGTGAGGTTATTGGCAGTAGATGGGGATGAAATAAGTAATAGCATACCATATAGCTTATAGTAACCTAGTAACTGTACACTATAAAGCTGGCTTTATTATAAAGCATTTCACAGATTCTGCTCCTCATCTTGCAGATGTGAATCTCTGGCACATAAGGGTGATGTGACTTGTGGCTTCTCCCAGGCAGCCAGTAGGGCTGCTCTGTCTGCTCTCAAACTCAGTGCCGTGAAACATATTTTTCACTTTGAAATTTGCTCAGCATGTCCACAGATGGGAAAAAGGGCAGGGCCTTTCTGAAAAAGAAACAGTGATGGCTTTAAAAATTATGAAGGGCTTGGTATGAAAACCAGCATGTTGTTGCTACAGGAAATCGTGGCTTTGGATAAAATGCTGCCACTTTGAAAAGAGCAATAATTATTTTCTTTCTCTTGGGAAGTACTATAAAACAATTCTGCAATTGTTTGGGAAGAGTTGGACACCTGATGAAAACAGCAAATGAAAATATGTCTATTACAAGCAGGTTTTTTTAAGCGTGGTAAATACACTGTCAGGAGAAGAGTAGCCTATGAAACCAAGCTGCCTGCTCAGAAATGTCCCAAGGAAATTGATAGCCTAATTTCAATCTAAGAAAATTGCATCTGAGCCTTTGTGGCTGAAGCATTTCCAAAAAGCCTGAACAGTTGTGGTGTAGTCTGAATAGGGAATAGGTACCTAAGACTGCCAGAACACAACTGTTGAGGGCCTTAAAAAGCACCTGTGGAAGATCACACATTTTTTTGAGTGTCAGTTGAGTACTTGTGCTTTCTCAAGAAGCTTATAGTCCCATTACTGTCATCCTGTTCACTAAATCAGCACCTTAGTTTCTCCCCTCTGGCAAGATAGCGGATGTCAGCTGCAAAGACAGCAGGATTTGACAATATAGTGCCTAATAAGAGGGGTTGAAAAGGAAGGGGCAAGACTGTGAGACATGATCATGTATCTTCTCAGGAGAGTGTGTGCAACTAGGGAGTGTCTGTGTGTGTACTGCTCCTGACTGGGGGAGGTGTGCAAGAGCTTGCTCATAAAGCATCTCTGCCCAGTGGGAGATGGAAAAAGACAGTGAAGATTGACATGAGGGATGCTGGGAGGTGTTTCCTTTGTCTTGGCCATGATCAATGGGAGGAATGCAGAGTGCCTTGGAAATAAGCCCTAAGGATTTGCTGGGGAGGAGGGACTGAAAAGAGCACTGCATTGGGAAGGGAGTTTTATCTCTGGATAAGTGGCAGGTAGAAGAGGCTGCTCCAAAACTGGAGGAAGGAGGTGATCCAAGAACTAACAAAAACGATGATGGTCTTATCTGAGGGAAATTACACTGATTTGCAGAAAGAGGAAGGGTATGGCAAAGGTTATGAGAGCTGAAAAAGATGTTAGAGGCTGTAAATTGCATTAAGTGGGTGGCTCAAATAGCAGTGGTGGTGCTGCAGGGGTGCTCTTGCTGCTTCCCATTGCAGTCCTCAGAACTGCAGTCCAGAAAGCACTCTGGCTCTGGGCATCATGAAGCCAAACGTAACAACAATCCCTTGTGTTTGAGGGAAGATTATCTAGTACTTTGCTGCAAAACCAGGTTTTCTGTTGTGGTAAAAGCATGGTTTTTATTTTACTGGCTAAAAGAATGCTCGGGATTAATGCAGACTTTTCTTATATTTGCAATATTGCTTTGAGAAGGACTGAATTTATGTTGTAGATGAAGTGCATGAGGAAATACCTGTGTTTCTCTTTCAGCAATCTCAATCCAGAGAAAAATCCAAATGAAAATGGAATGTCTATGCAGAATGATAACTTTGAAGAGATCATAAACCTGCCTATCGGTTCTAAACCATCCCGGCTGGATGCCATGAACAATGATGGAAGCAATAGTCCTCAAATTCCTTTGAATCCAATTCTAGCCTTTGAAGATCAGGGGACTCTTTTGCCTCAGGTAGATAGTGTTCAAACACATCAAACAGCAGGTAGGTTCACCTCGCTTCATTAACACTTGTAATGTGTTGTAATTGACAGAGGACCCAGAGTTCTTAATTGATACAAGTTGATTAATTTAAGCATTTTTAGACCCCATATTATTTGGTGAAAGGAGCATGTTTCCTTTTTGTAAAGCTATGCATGCCAAGTGCATACAGATGCTGTGCAAATTATTGAGGCCTCATCTCTTCTTTGAGGAGGGGCTGCTTAGTTACACTTTACTTTTTGCCTTTTGAAGTTGCTCGAAAATGCTTGCCCCGTGCTTTTGAACAGAAAAGAGACAACTGCTGTTCCACGTTCTGCAGGTGTAATATCTGACACACCCAGGCAGAAGGGGAGAGGTTATCTGCCTTCTATATGAAATCCTGGCTGTACTTCCCTCCTCAAGTTCTTGCTGACATTGAGGGATGGTTTGCAGCACACTAGATTTTTCTGAATTACATCACAACTTTGAAAGGATGTTAGATAATAAAAAACTAACACCGCAAATGAAATTGAAATAGCATTGTCTTTTTCTCTGGCTAAAAATGTAAGGAAAATGATCTTGCAATAACCTAAGTGCATAAAAGACTAGCATTTTGAAGTAAGAATTTTCACTCTTTACTGATATGTCGGTTTTGATACCTTCTGTTGTAGAAGTGATCTGATTGTTTCTTCTGAAGAACCAAAGGTGATAGGATCATCTCTGCAGTCAGTGGAGTTTATTCCAAGCTATGAAGGAGCGTTTTATTTTTTCTCTACAGTTTTTTAAAGATTTCTTGAATATCTTTTTTGGAAGGACTTGTAGCAAAACCAGCAGAAGAAATGATGGGAATAGACTTGGATCACCTTTGTAATAGCTTTCACCACTAGAAAAAATCATGCTTCACATGCATTACTTAATATGGCTTTTTCCAGCAAGCTTTTTCTGTTAGTACCTGGATATTTCTGCATTCCTTAAGACACAGGACACTGGAATCTGAAAGCAATGGGCTGATTTGGGTGGTGGGTCTGATTCTTTTTTTAAAAAGGTGGGTGTTGGTTTAAAAGGCATAATTGTAAAATTGGCAAAGAATCTTTTACACTTTGTGGTTCTAATACTTGAAAAATAAATACCTCGTTGCTCTACAAGTAGAGTTAATGGGGTGTTCTATTTAAACCTGTTGGTTTAACTATTATTGCTGAGAACTCTAATTATGGGGGCAAACTATAGGCTTCTGTATCAGGTTCTTGTAAATGTAATTCCTACAGGGACATTCTGTAAATTGAGATGTCACTATGATCTTCTTGCATTTTCTCTAAAAACACGAAACAAGGCAGGTTTTAAAATGTGAAAATTTGAAAGCGTTATTTTTTCATGGACAGGAGGAAAACCTATTGTTCTCCTAGATGATGTATTTATGAATTTTGTTCAGTAAAGAAATAAATCGTTTCAATGAATAAATTAGAAAAATGTGGCAAAATGATACTGCAACCTTCATTTTTTTTTTTTTTAGTTACATCTATGTTCTCAATACTATAAAAGATGTGTATGCATAGGCGCACACACAAGGAAATACCTTGTTTCGAGTCCTGCAAATTGCTGCTGTCCCCAATGGCGGAAGACTTTTCCTTTGCCTTATCAGACTACTGAAGCCTGTGGGAAACCTGAAATGTTTGATTTTTGGATAATGAAGCAGGTTTGTTTCGGGATATTTTTGGGTTTGCTCGTTTCAGAGCAAATGGAAAATGGTTATTGTGCTTTTTGTCATGTGATTTTTATGAAGTAGTGCAGTGATAAGAGTGGTAAGAGCAGCAGTACAGCTTGCTCTCTCTTTAGTTTGATGCCAATTTCTACTCTTGTCATTCCACCCCTTGCTTTTGGTTGCTATTGGGCAGAACTGTAAAGTCTTGCGCCTTCTTGTGCTTTGATGAACAACGCTGCTACAGATAATAGGTAGAGCTCAATCTAGCTATTTAAGTGTAAAGCACCAATCAGGGCTGGACATGCTGCTTGCTGAAGTCAGCAGGGAGATCCTTGGCTAGAGGAAGTGGAGGTTTATGGGGTCTCAGTTCATGCTCCCAGAGAATGTCTCATTAAGATTCCTGCACTTGCCTTTAGTGAGCACTGAGGTCAGCCTCTAGGAAGCTGTGCAGAAAGTCTGTGCTGGCAGAGGAAATCCTCTGAGACAAAAGCTGAAGAATTTCTTAAGAAGTTACTTTCTGCTGCTGGCAAGTGTTCTTTCGTACAGGAGATGGGATAAAAACAATAGAAATGCAATGGAAGAGACCTCATCTGTCAGAATGTATGTGGAAGGGAAAAAGCAGCCATTTCAGTCAGAATGCTTTCAATAGTAGCTTGTGACACAGTAAAAAAAACTGGGTTCCTTTCTTGCTTTCTTTAGTTTTCCATGTACATAGCCACAATATTTTGAAGTGTCCAAAATATGTAGTTTTCTTTAAACTTATATATAGCATGTAAGTACCAAATAAAACTTGTTTGAACTAATTCTATTTATATGTTCATTTTCTTGCATAGTTGGAGCAGGAGTCAATCTGTGATGGAAAACTCTTCCTGCTACTCCTGGTCTGCTTAAAACTTTTCTTCAGAGTTCCTCTAATATCTTTACAAGGAAATCAGTACAGAGTCACTTGCAGCTAGAAACAGCAAAGAAACAGTAAGATTTAGCTTCAGTCTTAAGTCTGAGGATTCACTGAGATTCAGGTTTAAATTATGTTGATCTTGAATCTGTTCAGGCTCAGGTAAAAATTATGTGGATCTGGTTTTTTTTGAGACTTCACTTTCAAGAACAGGACTGCAGTAAATCATAATTATATTTATTCCAGGTTTGCTTCGCGTAAGAGAGAGAATTTCCTCCTTTTCAAGGGCCTGACATACAAAGTAAAATCTAGGGAACTGGGAGTCAAACTAGGTGTAGGAATCAAAAAAAAAAAACCAAAAACCCACCAAACAAGCCACTAAGAAAATAAAAATGATTGAAATTTTAAGTCTTTGGTTAAGGTGTATTCTTCCAATGCGCGGTATCAAATGACGGCTAGCTCCTTTGCCTGCTATTCCAACTGTTTTTGTTGTTGGTACTGTCACAGGTAATACACAGTTAGTCGGTGACATAGAACTAGCAATTGTGGAGGTTGCAGACAGCTATTGTGAAGGTACGGAGAAGCTAGGCTGTGTGCTTTGGAAAGACTTGTCTCCTTGCTCTCATCTTAACAGTGCAACATAAATGCTTACAGGGATGATATTCAATACTTCACAGCTACTGGGTGGTTCACCATTAGCTTTGCTTGTTCCATATGTCTCTTATCTCATTCTGATGAAGAATGCTTTCTTTGCCAAGACCTTGAAATAATGTTTGCAGTTAAATACTTCAGAATACAGATACAGGACAGATTGCACTGATTTTCTTTTTGGAAAATTATCTTAAGTTTGAGATTTTCTGATTTTATTCCTACCTGTGTCATTCAGCTCTTTGTAGTCCTCTCTTTTAACAAGCCCAGCTGCCCACAGCTGAGCACATGGGTCTTTCATGTGAGATTTCAAAACAAATTTCCTGTCACACATGAATACTGAAAACACCATACTGCTTTATCTGAAGTCTGCCCTGCTCTTTCCCAGGTCTTTTTATTGTACTGCAGAGAAGCTTTTGAATGTGGGTTTGGTTGTGTTTAAATAAATAAATAAATAAAAAATAAAACCAAACCAACCAAAAAAAAAAAAACCCCACACCAAATCCTGGTACTATTGGAGAGAACTTGCAGTTATTAACAGGGATCATTAACAGAAATGCCTCCCCCAAGCATCAAAACCAACACTAAATGCAATGTGGAACACTTAGTTAACAGAATTATATTTTACTATTTCTAATCTCACTTTTATTCCATGTTTGTAGCCAGTAGCAGCTGCTTTAAAGCTCTACATGCATGTAAGAGTTTTACCATGGTCAGAAGCACCTCAGAAGATCGTTATGCTGGTCTTGACTGGGGTAGAGTTGATTTTCTTCATAGTAGCTCCTATGGGGCTATGTTTTGGGTTTGTACTAGAAATGGTGCTGATAATAACACAGGGATGTTTTCATTATTGCTGAGCAGTGCTTACACAGCCTCAAGTCCTTTTCTGCCTCTCGCCCCACCCTACCAGCAAGGGGGCTGGTGATGCACAAGAAGTTGGGAAGGAAGGGACACAGCTGAGAGAGCTGACCCCAAATGATCCAAGTGATATTCCATACCATATGACATCATGCTCAGCACATAAAGCTCTGGGGGAAGAAGGAAGAGAAGGGGATGTTCGGATTGATGGAGTTTGTCTTCCCAAGTAACTGTTAAACGTGATGGAGCCCTGCTGTCCTGGGGAGGCTGAACACCTGCCTGACCATAGGAAATGGTGAATGGATTCTTTGTTTTGCTTTGCTTGGGTGCACAACTTTTGCTTTACTTATGAAACTGTCTTTATCTCGACCCATGAGTTTTCTCACTTTTACCATCCTCATTCTCTCCCCCACTCCACTGGAGGTGAAGTGAGTGAGCAAGTGGCTGTGTGGCGCTCACTTGCTGGCTGGAGTTAAACCACAAGAGTCAGTAAATTCTTCTGAAATGTTTTCATAAGAAAATGCTATCTGGAAGCAGATGTTTGCTGTAAGAATGGTTCCAAAGTTTCAGTGTTCCAGTCAGTTCAACAGGAAGCTCCAGGAGAATTCTTGTATTTAAAACGAAGTGTACTGGTGAAAGATGGAGATCAATTTCTAATTTTGCCAAGTATGTTCACTTTTTCCTGGTTGCAAGTAGTTTTGGAAATAATTTACCATTTGCAGAACAGAGATTTCTGTATTCAAACACATCTCACCCAAATCAATGGTAACTGCTATATTCTGAACATGCTTTATGCCACATTGACCCACCTCAGTGTGCCTTTGCTCTTCTGGAGTTTAGTGCCTACAATGTAGGTAAAGATCAGCCCTAAGGCTTGCCCTATTCTTGTTTCTTATAAACTTCTTTCAATTTCTAAGTTGTCCTTCAGCAGTTACTGTTTGTAGTAACCTGCTAGTAGTTTGCTACCTTTATATTGTATGTTAATTCAATTATTTTCTAAAGTCAAGTCCTGGGAGTGTGCTCTGAGATAAAAAACATGGAACAGAAACAAAATAAAGATGAATGCAGAGTAACCTGTGTACTTGAGAGATGCCTCTTTAGAAGAATCCACCTGTTACATGAATAAAATCTCATTAATACAGTGCTGTTGTTTTGGAGGTGGATGTGAGGAAACCAAAAACAAACCATGGAAGATTACCCAAGCATAACGGGTGTTTTCCAAACCCATTGGACGGAATGTAGCCATAGTCCTCAGGCACACTTCAGCAGCCAGCTGAAGTGTTCAAGGGATTGTCCTTTGACCTGCTTGGACTTTTGTTATCGGAACATCTCTTTGTATGATGAAATTGCAAGTAGCAGGAAAACTTAAAACTACAGGAAGCAATGAAAAGAGTTCTCTTCTCTGAAAGTTCTGAAGGCTTTGTAAGTTTTCATAAGCTATCTGGCTTAAATATTAACTATCTTCATGGCAAATAGCTGCCCTAAGGAGCTCTTGAGTTTCTTCTGTTTGTTGGCGGAGTTGCTCAAGGAGTTTGGCCATTTGGCTTTCTCTGAATTCTGATGAAAATTCTGGATCTGAAGAGAAAAAACAAGTGTTAGGCAAACTGCCATTTTCCCCCTTATCTTAATGCAGATGCTTAGAAAGCTTCTGTTTTGGGTTAGACACAGTTGATAGTTCTTATTACAGTGTAAAGTATGAAGGCAGAACAATATCTTCTACCACACAAAACAGATAAAACTCCAGATTTCAGCCTTACTCAAGATTGTTTGCTGTTAAATTCTCCTGCTCCAGATGTCTAAAGTTCAGTTGCCAAATTCAGCCTTATACAATAGATGCGTATCAAAACATAGCAGAGTCTTAGCTCTGGCTCTACATATGTGGAGAGATATGCATTTATTATGGTACTATAACTTATCTGTACTCAACTTCAAACCAAAAAAACTTCACCAAAAATGGGAAAAAACCTCAAGGAACAGAATTTAAAGTAAGAAAAATAAGTGAGACTTCCCAGCTCTAATAGCAGCTAATCACACAATTTCCTGTTTGTGTGCTTTATCAAAATAAACAAAACTCATATTTGAAAAGTTTTTAGGTTGCATCTAGTGCCAAACATTCTTATATTGGATAAACCAGCTGTACCTGTTAAACAAAAGAAATCCCAGCCTTTATAAGATACTTTTAGTAACTTAAAAAACAGGTAAGGTAACAGCTACCCTGAGGGTTATTCTGTTTGCTGAAGCGAGCAAAGCTAGACCCCAGAGGAAGCTGCCCAGTACTGTAATTTCTGTGACACAGCAATGCCTGTTTGCCACAGAGAGGAGCAGGCAGCGCCTGGCAGTGCCCCAGGCACCCAGCCCAGCAGGAAGGCTGTACCTTCTCGCAGTCTGCAGAATGTGGAGATGCCCAGCTGCTGAAAGCGGATCTCTCGATGGGTAAGAAAATTCCTGAGGTAGGCTTGAATCTCTCTGATGTGCCGCTTCAGCAAAAGCATCATTTTTTCTGCATAAATGGGAGAATTAACAGGAGCCTTTAAAACACTTCAAAAACTGATTTTTGTAACTACTTAAGATTGTTAATGACCCATCTACCCAGCTACAACCAGTGTTACTGCAAAGATTAGCAGATTACTTCCATGTAGTACAGCCTCTAAAGGTACTACTGATTCCTCAGGTAAATAAAACACTGTGTGGGCAGTAGGACGTCCTTGTGTGAGGTCCTTGTGAGAGGTGATGGAAGACTCATCAGCCTGCCATGAACCAACCCAGGAGCAATTATGCTTTTGGACTCTGTTCACTACTTGAGAGTTTGCTCTGTTGCAAACCCTCGATGGTAGAATTGAAGCAGGTTTGTGGTTTCCCTTATTAGAGACTCATTATGGACTTCGGTTTCTCTCACATCTAAGGATTAAAATCTAAACATGTTTTTCTAGAGAATGTGGCAAAAATCTAAACACCTTTTCTATTGCATGTCTTAAAGGCTCTCAGCTGTGTGGGACAAGTATATTAAGCACAGAACTTTGTTTTCTGCAGGCAAAAATAATGTTCTTTTCATTCTCTCTCACTGCAACTTAAAAAAATACAGGCTGCATTCTTAAAAACCATTTCACTGCTCCTGCTAATCTAGACTAGAATTACCACAGCAGTGTTTAGTTCAGGAAGATGTTTTCCTCCTGTTGTTCAGGGAGCAGAGTTGATGTAAAATTTCGGAACACAACTGTCCCGTTGTAATTATCTCTACCAAGCTCTGCTCCTATCTGTGGGGAATGCCACTACATTGTATGTACTGAGAAGGAGGGTTAAACAGAAAGATACAATGCCTCTTGTCTGAAACACATTCTCAGCTTCCTTTGGTAAGGAGTATTTTATGTTCTCTCACTTTCCTAGTGAAATTGTTTTTAAGGACCTCAGAAGTGGCTACAAACTAGCCTTGCAGCAGGATAGTGTTTGAATACATCAGCCAGCACCTGGATCAGATCTTTATCTATGGCCCATTTTCATCCCTGGGCTTTCTCATGCATGCCAACCCTGATGTATGTCTATTTCAAGGGTGACTGTAGGTGCTTTTTGTAGAGATCACACAGAAGATGCTATAGGAATGTTAAAGGTTGTTTGGTGCCTAACAGATGTTTTTTAATTCTTTGGGAAAATGCTTGTTTCACTCCATCCAGCCATAAATCTCTGAAAGCACAGTTAATGCTGTGTGACAGTTACCATGACCTATCATGTGCTGGATGATGGAGGCAGCTTGAAAGGATGGCTCGGTATGTTCCTGCTGGCCAGCCAGCCTCACTAAGCACTTTGTCAAGGGTTCATCCATCCATTGGAGCATGTGTAACGTAGCACCTGGAAGACAGAAAGATGAGAGAGCAGGCTATAAAGAGAAACTCCACTGTTGAAGAAATGAAGGTGAGACGTCTGCCAGAAACCATACTGCCTCAATAGGAAATCCTTCATGCAGCTGGAGAAGTAAAGTAAATGCTGAACTTGTGCAGTAAGTATGTTTAGGTTGTAAAAAAAAGGGTCCATGTCCTGAGGTTAAGGTCTCAGTAAGGCAGGGTAATGGATTTGATTCACAGAAAGGCTGGTGGATTTTTATTTTGTTGGGTTTGTGTTCTGAAAGATTGAATCACTTCACGTACAAGATACACTCTTGCCTAGTGGGCTCAGTCTGTCCAGTGGCTGGTGGCCTCTGGCCTAGTGGGCTCAGTCTGTCCAGTGGCTGCTGGCCACCTCTTGGAAAATTAAATGTGACACGTTGCCAGTTGAATGGCAGTTACACCAGTTGCAAGAGGAAATGTTTGACAGACAATAAGCAGTGCTGGTGCAGGCTGGGAAAATTAACACTGATCCCTTTGCCATGAGGAGTACTGTAGCTTCCATGGGTGTGAATAAAACCTATGTGCAAAAAATTAGAGAAAGAGCCACGTTGTATTTTAGTCTTTCTTTTATAGTGTTTTTTGTGAAATTAATTCAATCAGAGAAACAGGGCCACATTACGAATAAACTAGGCAGGCCACGTACAGCAGTGAAGGTCAGCACAAAGAATTTTGAGTAAAAAAATAATAATAATTAAGCAGTTCAACAGAAAAAAGTGCAACTATCAGAGCCCATGTGTCCTGCCTGTGAGTTGGATCCTACTGCTCTTGAAGCTCATGGCAAAGCCCCCAGTGAATTTAAAGGGAAAGACCTCAGCTGTACATCCACCTGTGCTTCATCTCCTATTAGGATTAATAAAGTGTATGTATGCTTCTCGGATTAAGCCATTCATGGTGGGGCTGCTTCCCTACCTTGCTTCGCTAGCTCAGCAAGGCAAGATGTCACATAATGAAGAGAGTCTTCTTCAGGATTGGTAGAAAGCATGGTCTGGAGAAGACCTTCAACACATGGGCTCTCAATGATTCTCTGCAACAAGAAAGAGATTAATGTTCAGCATTTCCACTGTGTTTTAGTGGTGGCGGAGGACTTCAGAAGTACTGAATAGCTCTTAGCAATACTGAGGGCTGAAACATCACTAATGGAAATGCCTCCTTCCAGCTCTACCTCAACAGGGTGACAAACACCCTGGATTGTTCAGAGATCACCTGATTTTAGGCGTTTCCCAGGGCTTGCTCTGTCAGTGGGATGTTCTCACAGAATCAGCTAGGTTGGAAAAGACTTTCAAGATCATAAAGTTCAACTGTTACCCCAGGACTGTCAAGTCATTTTTCCAAAGTGAAATTCAGTATGCCACTGGATAACCACAGAGGGATCCAGCTTTGCACAAACACTGTCCTGGCTGGCTACGCTCTTATACCTCAGTAGCTCCTCCACACAGGCAAAGCCTTACCGAATAGGCTACAAAGCCACGTGTTTTTTCTGCACTACTTTTGCACATCTCTGCTCTCTCTTTCAACCTGCAGGTTTGTAGAGGAACTGCAGTTGTTCCCAGGGGACCTTATCAGCATTAAGGTGCTGGGGAGCCAAATGCTATGCATTTGCGTGAGGCATGCAGGCTTAACGCAGTTCGCTCTGAGCTCAGAGAATTTCCTGACCTATTGCTGCTGCGCCAGGCTGTTATGTTAGTATTAAGCTGTCATTTCCTCAAGTCTTGCTGCAGAGGTGAATAAACTGAGTGCTCCAGGGCAAAGCACTGGGAAATGTGGAAGTTTTTCAGTTTCTCATATTTGCCTCCAGGGCTTTGAAAGCTTTCTCGTGTTGAAATGCTCTGATCTGCAGAAATACAAGATGACCTCTCACTAGCAAATTTGAGTTCTGTTTCAGTAGAGAAATGTTATCAACTAAACATTTCTGTGTATCTCTTATGTTTTACGTTGAATCTATCTGCCAAAAGTGTTGGACAGCATGTGTTTTAGAGACCGATTTGAAAACAGATAGGAGACTTAGCCTGTACTGACCTGGATTAAAAGCACTTGAGAACACGGAATGAGTCCTGAATGAGTCACCTGGAGGTGACTGGTTGCTATCGAAGCTGCATCACAAAGTCGTCAGCTCTCTGGGAGGTCTTAACAATGGAAGCTGCTCACACCTCCATGAGGGAGCTCAGGTATTTATCAACAAAAGGGCGTATCTTTTTGTGTGTGTGCGCGCTCGTTTTATGTTGCAGTTTTTTAACTTGTTGCTTAGAGGTTGTAGCTGGATTCAAGACTCGCCTTTCAAACTCCCTCACGCTGTTAGTGTCCTGCTGGCATAAAAACACCGCTTTTTTTCCTCTTGTGCCAAGGACTTACATGTTTGAGGGATGGTTCGTTAGAATTGACCCTGGAAACCTGGCATTCCCACTCATCTCTGTGGTTTCACTTGAGCACTGAGAGCTAAATTCTCTGTATGTTATAAAGCTTTATGAAGCTCCCTGCTGATAACAGAATATGTGACAAATATGGTAATTATTTTAAGGCAAACTTTGAAAGGATTGAGCCTTGAATTTGAGGGAATCTATTTCCCTGCAAAAACAGATTTCACAACTATCAAGATTTCATGTAATTTTTACGTTAGCAAAAGCGAAAAAAAAAATGGGAGATAGTTTTCCTTTTGGTTAGCTAAAATCTCTGGGACTATTGGTAATTGGGTCATGATCAAAGAAAAAGAAAAGTAAGAGGGGCAAAGCAGAGACAAGGATTTGGGTGGGATTTCCCCCCTCTCCCCCCCATATTGATTGTTACTAGTGGCACTGTTTGATCAAGGTACTCTTAAAAGGCAAGAAAAAAGGAAGTGCCTCTATAAAGCTCATTAGAAGATTTAATTAGAAGCAGAATCATCAGCAGAGATCCTTACAGTATCTTAGCACAACTAGTATCTTGCCAAACAGGCAAAATGTACATCAATAGCCGGGGTTATATTTAACAAACTGGGATTGAAATTAGATCAGTGTTTGAACACCATAAGTGGATAAGCAAGGGCTGACAAAGAGTGAGAGTTAGGAAATAAGGATTCAGTTGATAACAAACCTCAATTTTCCTGGATTTATGAGTATGAGTTTAATGAGTATGAAATGTCTTTGCTAGAAGTATGTTTTATACGTATGATGCAGTCATTCAAATTAGGTAACCACTCATAGGAAAAAATTAGGTATTTCTCATTTTCCTTAGCGTTTTTTGTATTGCATTTTAAAAATATGAACAAACCTTCCTTTCATCATGGTGCATCAGGTCCTTCTAGTCACACAATTTTGTGTAGAGTATCCTTGGTGCATGTTTCATTATATTATCTTTCTGTGGATAATTTGATTTGATATAACCATATTAGCAACCTCCCAGGGTATAGTTCAGTGAAAAATACTGGGTACCTACCTGTCTGTTTTTGGAAAGGCTCAGGTTTTTGATGATACAAGCAGTATGGCCAACAATCACAGGGTCTGTTTTATGTGCCAGTAGTAGCATCCCCAGGCTCTGTAGTAGCTCAGCACATGCCAGAGTGTCCTGAGAAAAGCAACTGATATCTCAGTTACATCCAGTATGAACAACACACTGCAACTTTGCAGCATGCTAGAGATAGATAGATCTTAGCTTTGAAAGAAGAGTATTGCTTAGTTCATTTAAACCAACAGCGATTTGGCTGGGTCCAGTGCTTTTTCTCTCAAAATATGGTCTTACTGACTGCTACTGATCTACAGAGCACTTGCTGTGGAAAGCTGGAGTCTTTAAGGTTCAGTAGTTTGGTTTTGTTTGCAACAAACACTTCCCTGAGGTTGCTGGTAGCCAAGGGAAGGATGTGTGATCCTGACTGGAAGAAGTGGTCAGGATAGGTGTGAAAAGCGAAAGTATGTGATGAAGTAGCAGAAGCAGTGTGTCCTTGAGTACCTCAGCAATGAACCTCACCTACAGTAATGGACTGTATGTTTAGATCAGTTTATGATCTGGCACCACTTTAGTAACATGTTCTGAACAGCATCTTCTTGAGTTTATACATACGTTTCTCTGCTATCTGATAGATATTTTAGAGGGAGGGACTTTACTGAGTCCTCTCTCTGAATGTTGTCGTTTTCCAATTACCACTAATATTAATCTTCTGAGTTTGGATTACTGCCCAGGTAGTTCCTTCAGTAACAGTACGGATTAAAGGGAAACTGCTGTTTATAAAAGAAAGTGATCTCAACAGGCTTTGAGTTAGGTCTAGAGTTAAAAGCGAAAGATTTCCTCTTGGGAGCATTTTTTCTTTCAGTCTCTAATTTGAGGTCTTTATGCAGTTCTTATGTTTCTTAGCAATAAACTGTATTATTTGTGCTACTTAAAAATTGAGACACATTAGCAAGAGTGTTCAATGTAAAACAAATCATCGGTCCTATATATAGCCAAGAAAAATCACATCTGAAACCTGTGAAATGTCAGAATCACTGAAGCAGTGCTGAAAGGCAGATGTCTTTAAAAATTAGTTGAACTTGCATCAATTTTTTACTGAGGTTAAATTGCAAAAGTGGATCTTATTTTCTTTTAATATTAGCTGACATCTTCACTTACATTCATTTTAAGCACTGTCATAACCACCAATCCTGAAATAAACCATGAAAATAGGTGGAAAGGGCAGTGCTATGCCTAAACTCAGGGAATTTAAAGAATCCTATATGCAGACATGGCTGTAAATTTTCACTGGGTTTTTTTTCCTTCTCTTCAAAGGCAGAAATAATATAATTTTAGATAATCCAGTTAAATTATCGTTGATGACTGTTTTCTGTGCTTGTGGACAGTGTCCTCTTTTCTACATAATCCCATCAACTATGGTACCTTTATTTGATTTGCTACAGCCTAAGAGAAGGAAACTTTCTACAGACTGTAAATGAACTTTCTGATCTATAACAACTTCCTTGTCAAGCACTTCTGTTTATTTAGGACCCGCATTAGCAAGTGACAGTACTTCCAATTTTGCTGAACCTCTTTTTTGACTGGTATATGGCTGTGATCCAGATTTTGTTTTCTGGCTCAATCCTGCACAGCACGAGAGCATCACAAGAAAACCCCGAGTAAAAATGGATTGGGTGGTTTAGATGGATACTGATCTAACTTCTCCCAAGATTAAAAAATAAATAAAAAGCTAGTAAAAGCATTCCAGCAGCAACTGTGCTTACAGTTGTAATGCTGCACTTGCACCACTTATCCAGGGATTTCTTGCCAAGATAAATATTATCCTCCTTTTACCAGGTAGCAAGATGGGAAGGCAAAATTATTTTGTACCTGCAGTGAGAAGGCAGTGGCATCATCTGGAGTAGACAGACCTCTGCAACCCTGACTTCCAGGTCTTTGCTCAAATGAATATGATTTAAAAGGCTGTTTTCTCAAAAAACCTGACTCTTTCTATAGTATTTCAGGGTCAGGCTGTCCTTGAGAGGACTGAAAAAAATTCCTCTGCAAGAGGGAAGTTTTCCAGCACTTGCTAGGAATTGCTGTCAACAGCCTGGCCAGGGGATCGCAAAAAAGGAGTTTAAGCAGAGAGAGAAGCTCCTGTGAAGCATTCCCAGGGGTTTGCTTCATGGTAACGAAAGGGCAGATGAATTCCGCCCTATTGTATCCTGGGTAGTATTTGTAATAATTCAAGCATCACTTGACTTGGTTGCAAAGGTTAGCTTTGTTCGGTGGCTTGTTTTCCAACAGCTGTTCCCATGGAGAAGTCCCTCTTTCACTCATGAGAATTCAGCCTGAATTAGAGAAAGAAACCTTGAAAAGGTTTGCAAAACAGGCCAGAAAAGGCATGGAGGTGGTGAGGCAGGATATGAGTAAGGAGAGGTCAGCGTCTTCTCAGAGTGCCCGGGGCTTGCTTGCACAAAACAGCAACATTCAGTAGTCGGGGACAGCCATGTTTACTCACTAAAACAAATTTTTGAGATGTAGCTACTTCTCGCTGGAGAATAAGCCCTCAAGGGTGATGCTTTGCTTTCCAGCCTCCTGCTGCTAACCCTATTCCCCCATGAAGAACAGGCTGTCTCGCTGCTGGTATGACAAGGCTGAGCTCCAAGTGCCTTTGTTCCTACTGATGCTGCATCCTTTGTTGCTGGGGGTTTGAAGCACTCATAAAGACACATTTCGGGATCAGGGAGGAAAGGATTTGTGGGTACTTTTTGCTGGGAGAACAAAAAGTGCAAATGGTGTTTGGGATCAAGAAAAGCAAATGCAAGTGAGGACGATGTTCCAGCATAATGCCTCATCCTAAGGAACATTTTCGCAGTGCAAATTAGCCTCCAACTAACTTAATGTATTTCAATTGTAAGCTTGTTGAGAGAAAATTGTGTTTTGATTGCATGAGGCAGTTTGACAAGCGACGAGTATGTTTAGTGCTAATGCTGCCAGCACAAAACCTAGGAAGCCACAGTGCCTTTAAAAAGCTCTGTGCTCTAGTTGCTGCTTTCCCAGGCATTGTGCTTACCCACTTTTTCCATCATGTCCCAGAGCCAGAGGAGGGGCAATTTGGTTTGTACTGTGCTGGGTATGAGCAACTGTGATGGAAAACACCAGGCTTCCAATATCCAGGGAAATTTCAAATCAGACTGAGCATATTTCAGCCAGGAGAAGCACTTAAGCCCAGCTGTCATTACTCATATTGTCTGCCACTACTGCTTAAAGAAATGTGGCAGGAAAGGTTCTCACTTTTTTATTTACCCAAACTCTGCCTCTCTTAAAAGGTTATTGTTAGCTTAAGACACCTACCAAAAACCCTTCACATCCATGTTCCTACAGATGTCTAATTACTGTAATAGAAAAGCACATTTAAAAATAGTAAAAATTGGTCAGTTGCTACTTACTGGTTTTGCTGTTTTATGTGGAGGATGAAAGTATAGCAGGATCAGCTGCTTTTTTTTATTTGCTGTAGTTTATTTCTCAACAGACTTCATGTATTTGCATAGTGTTGCACTCTAAATGGTGGTGTTTCCCATTATAAACAGTTGGTGTTTACCAACTGTTCTGTAGCTAACAACATGAGGAGACATGGAAAATCCTTGTGAATTATCAAAAGATTTCAAGTTATATTAGCTTCCCTGTCTTGGTCCTAATTCAAAAGATGATAAATTTATGCAAATGCACTTTTAAATAACTGTCCATATAGGGAAGTGATATATTTTTGCACTTTATTTTGCACTGATGCTACTTTAAATGCACACTCTAAATTAGCTCCTCTGCTTTCAGCATGTGAGGAAGCTCTGTAGCCAAGGAATAACTTCAGCAGCTGCCCCCATGGTTGCAGTCTTTCATGGTGCTATGCATTTATCCTGCCCCTTGTACACCCATCTGGAGACCTGTGGTCTGGGGACAGAGGGGACCATGGGGATTTGCAGGGCAGTGTCCATACAAGGAATCTGACACCCACCTCTCCCCCTCTGTCCTCTTGGTCCTCTTACAGGAATTCTGATTACAGGATCCTTTAGATCCCACTCACCACAACAGATAGGCTCCTCATGAGTGACAGCGAAGATGTAGCAGAGAAAACCTCGTTATTTTGGGTGGGAGAAAGAGGAATTGAGAAGTCTCACAGAGCTTATTGGTCAGTCTCAAAATGCATTTCATATGCACTTTTTGCCATAACTGAGTGTTACCCCAGGTGGTGGCCAGAACTACTCTTTCCACACTGGTCTTGGGAAATGTCCTCCCCTACCTGGTTGTGTGGGTGCTGGGACAGTATCCAGAGCAGAGCGATGGAGGCACGACGCACATCCTCACTGCCAGAAGCCAGGAGAGCGTGCAGCTTGGGCAGGACATCCTCAGCAACCATCTCGGTCTGGATGTCCACTGGTTTGGGAAAATGACTGAGGTCAGTGAGCTTCAGAGCACTGCGAGGCATTTGGGCCCTGACACAAACATCTGACTTCGCTGCAGTGATTAAGTTTGAGGGGTTGACCCCACCTCTGTGGGATGGGACAACACTAGATGTTTGGTTATAAAAATAAGCCCTCATTTGTTCTGGCTCCTTTTGCCAAAAGATTAGTACAGGCTTGAGAGCAGAACGCAGGTTTGGGCACCCTTCAGTTTGCATCTGAACATCAGTAAGAAGAAATTAGGGGAATTTTCTGAATCCTTCGTTGGCATAAGGCCCAGTAAGAAGGTGTCAGCTTCTGCTGCACAGACAGGAAGACCTCCCCAGGCACCACGTATCTTGCAGAGTAATGGTTAGCCAGGAGAGAGATCAGCCATCCCAGCTGAATGCTTACACCCCGCTTGTCTCTGCAAACTCGGAGAGGGCTTTTGGGCACTAAAAGGCAACGCCAGAGCAGCCAGCAGATGGAGCAGCAGTCCTAAATGGCCAAGCAGATCACGGATTTTCAACCATGCCAAGAAGGAGCACAGCTGTTCCTTCCCCCCTGCTCCATTATAATTATGATTGCTTGAAAATTAAGCACCTCTACATTTTCTAGATGTACAACTCTTCCTCTGGACCCTAGAGCTCTAGTCCTGAGTGTGCCAGTCCTCTGCTTTCATCTCCTGATTATGCCATAGAAAAGGATCTTGGGTATTTAATAGGATTCTTTTAAGAGGATGACAATGCTTGGGAGAAAATTGCATTTAATGATAGACAGATTCAAGCCCTGGGAGAAGGCAGGTCCCCACTCAAGTAGCAATTTCAGGAGACGTTCTGTCCTGATCAGGTTTAATGCTTTTGAAACATGGAAGGGAAAAAAACTTAAGTTGCAAAGGCTCTGTGCATAAGAAGACCTCTGCTGTCTCTCTCACCTTGTCCAAATACTTCCCCTTGCTACCCAAGAGCTTTGAGGCAGATTTAGTTAGTGCATCTCCCTTTTCCCTTAACATCCAACTAAAATATAGAAAAGAGCATCTCTCTTCTAATATGAAAGATTCCCAGCTCACTGTGCCCTCTCTGAAATGCAGAGAGAGAAAGAAAAATAGCATGCTTTGTTTATCTCCAAGATACTGCTTACCACTGGTAGCCAAATTCCGTAGGCAAACACATGCCTGGCTTGAAACCTGCTTGTGCCAAAAAGCAAAAAAAGAAAAAATGAATGCGGGGGGAAAAAAGAAGCAATTTCAGTAATGCATGTTCCTGCCTATTGTACACAAAATAAACACAACACTAGCAAGCTGTCATATTATCTTCAGAGAACAAATTTGGGGAAATTATTTTTTCTTTTTTTTCTCAAAGTTTTTTCAACCTCCACTAGTATCAGTAATCCTGTCGTTGATGAGGAACAGCCAAGGGGATTCAGATGTTGGTTTACTTTAAAATGTCAGGAAAGTTACAGGAAAATTGAGTGAATTTATCTCATTTGCTTCGTATTTTTTTTCACCTTCCTCCTACATAGAATTTAAGGTTCCACCCTTAAATCCTGAACTGTGACTTACTGAAGTTTCTTTGATGAGCTCCAACAAAGCAAAGTTTTCAAGATGTTATTCTCTGAAGCCATGCCAAAGTTAAGAATAGCAAAAAGACCAGGGGAAAAAAAAAAAGTAGCATGATAGATGCTTCAGATACTTTCTGTCACAGACACAATAATCAAAGACAGTTGAGAGCCTGGACAGAGCACTTCATACATGTAGCTTCAAGTTTAAAGAATACAGGGCATCCTAGTCTAAAGGAAGTGTCCAGGGCTGTAGGACAACTTCAATGACTTCTCATCTCTTTCTCTACATTGACCTTGTATAACTTATGTATCTTCTAATATATGTGTCTTTTCTCATGGGAAAGATGCTGCATAGGCACCTACACAGCAGATGAGCAGAATTGTGCAAGACTAAATGGGAAGCCCAAGTTTATAGCTCTACTCTGATGCTAAGGATTTACACAAAGAGAAAGCTACAGCTTTACCTTGTCCACAGAAGAGGATAGGAGAGAGATGAGTGTCCGCAACAGGAATCTGTTGCTGGGTCTCAGCATGGCTTCATGGTACTGAACGTTGGCTGCCACGTTGCTTAGAGCAGCACAGCTGTAATACTGCAGAGAACCAAGAAAAAAGGAGAGAGAGAGAAGAGGTCCCAGTGGTGACATGTTGAGGAGGATAAAAATAAGTTGGAGAAATGCTCAGACTTAGATGCAGTGAAAATAAAGTACTTTTTCATCTTAAGGGTGTTTTACTGGGGAGATGTGGTAACAGCCTAAGTGGGCTTCCTCCGGGAAAAGCAATGCAAACTGCTTTAGCTACAATAGCAGTCATGCTGTGGCAACTGCATGTTGTACAAGCCCATTAGGACTCTGGATATTTGTGAATGTACTGTGCTGCTGCAAGGACACTGCTGCTGGCACCTAATTAGGTCATCTGCATCTTCTGTGTTGTATGTTTACATTTATTTACTCAAGCTGGATGTAGTCATTGCCTTAGCATGCCAAGAGATCATTTTCAAATGATTTAAATATTAATGCTAGGAAGCGTTGTATATATATAAGTACGTATTACTAGGGGGGTATAATTGGAAGAAACAAGTTGAACTGCATCAAAGAAAATTTTAAGGTGAATCTCAGACAAAGCTGATAACGCTGAAACAGGTTGCAGAAAGGAATTCCAGAAGGTCCATCCCTTCAGACATTTAAAAGAACTCTGAACAGAGGTGACAAAACCAATGGAGCAAACAATCCTGGACTACTTGGAGGACTGAATGAATGAACTAGTGGATTTTAAGGTTTACAGCTCTGACTCATAGTTTTTCATCCACATACTTTTGAACTCAGACTGATGCTCTGTTAAATGTGCAGAATCATAAAGAGGTGTCTGTGGTAGGCATAAAACAGAAGATTTCCCAAACATTTACAATAAGAAGAAAGAAATCTTTACAAGTTATGCTTTCTCAGGTCACTTGGTAGAATTCCTTAGAGTGGAAGATCAGAGTTAGGATGAAAAAAAAACAGCAGAGGAAGAGGCCTATCTGCAACTTGTCTGATGATCTGAAACACACAAGAAAGTAACCACGTATGAACTCTGTGCATGTGTTAGTGTGTGCTGGCAGATACACTTCTGCATCATAACCTTTCTCCTGTGGAGCTTGACAAATTGGGTGTTTTGAATACATATCATCTGGCTGCGCTAAGTTTCACCAAGATGTTCTCACAGGTTTTCCCACTTCTCTAGTGAAACCTTCCCTACCCTCTACCTTTTCATTTCTGGGTGCCACAGTTTGTGCTCTCCTTACAGTCACACTGTTACTGTTTAAAAATCTGACCTGTTTGAGGCATACCTGCACTTCCGAGTCAGGAGATTCCAGCAGCAAGGCAAGAACTGGTAGGGCTCCTTCCTTGCATAGGACCTGTTGGATTTTCTCTGCCATAAAAAAGGGGGGGAGAAAAGTGCTGTGAATGTGTCTTTCCCCTTCCCTCCCTCTCATCTGGAGGCACCATTCAAAAGGAATTATGCACAACCACTGAATTCTGGAGTGCTGATGCTGTCCAAAGCAGTGTGAGTGGAGAGTATGTAATTTAGAACTTGTGCCAATATAGCAGTATGCAGACATTTCAGCAAAATGACTAGCAGGCTGTCTGATTTATTAAGCCTTTGCTGGCTTTATGCTAAAGACTGTTCTGAGATTCTGAATTGCTGAAGAATCTGAGAAACCTCAGGTATGATATTGAGCATGATTTCATGTTTAAAAATCAAATTCTTTAAAAAAGTTCTTCATAACTACAGAAGTGTAATAGCCAACTGTTCCTTTCCCTTATATAAAAATAAGAGACATTACTCACAACTGTACCATTTAGCTGCACGGGATAATGGTATCATCTAGGCAGGTGAGACTTAATGTTGGTTTGTTTCAGAGTTAATGTATTGTGTGCACATATTATTGTGGAGGATGAAATACTGCTTTTACTAAAGCTGTTGGCAGATATCTCAAGAGCTTTTAATGTCTGGCCCACAATAGTTATATTTTACATCTTCTAACACCAAGTTAGGGATTCAAGTTAAACGTTCCTAGAGCTTGATCTTGTCGGATAAGCTTCTGAGATTGCTTCAAAGTACCACCAAATGTGCTGCTAACTTTTTAGACCAAGTTATTTCTTTAACAAATCCCTCGGGATTAAAAAAATCAAGCCTTTCTATTTTGGAACTAGGCAAAAAAGGGTCTGTGTTAGCTAACAAGAGGCCAGACTTAGCTCATCAGCCTATGCTACCAACATGAATGTCATGTACGAAAGGAATAATGCGTTGCTCAGATACGCTTTTATTCTTGCCTTAACCCTTTTCAATTACTTTTTTATCAGTGAGAAATTTTCTTTTGGCAATTTTAGATAAACCATTGGTCAGAAAGTACCTGACTGTGTGAGGTTGAGAATAGCACCAACTGCGTTTTGTTGGACTCTAGGATCATAGGAATTGGCAAGAGACAGCAGGGGTGTAACTCCTCGAGCAGCGCCAATAGCCTCTCGGTTGGACTCTGGAGAAGAGAATCAGAGAAAGAAAGAAGACATTGCCATCTTACTGTGAGCTAGGAGCAAGACAACTAAAAGGACTAGATTTCTTTTCACTTTTTTGATTCTTTAGTATATATCAAAATTTCTCTGCATGCTCAAAGAAAATTTAAACATTCCAAGAGCCCAATGGGAAAGAAACTAATTCATGAATACTGTATTAGTGATAGATCACAGCTGGTTCAATGCTTTTGTGACTAGAATGATTAAAATAAAAGGACCATAAGTCCCCTTAGACAGGTTTGCAAGGTGTCATATTTTGCCTTGTACCTCTACTATGTCTGATCAAGTTGTTCAGTGTGCCAGCCAAAAACTACATAAACAACTGCAGGAAAGACTGAGTTAATTTAGCAGAGTATATCCAGGGCCGATTTCTCTCTTTGAATGTGCCTGTATCACTCCTTCAACAGCTACAAAAAATGCAGAGGTTCTGAAAAGATGATGCTTCTCTGAAGTGGTGATGCTTCCTTGCATGGCAGTGTATTAAGCTGTACAGTTGTATCCAACATCCTGGAGTACGAGGAGAATCCAAAAAAGTATCTGCAGAGCCCCTTGAGACACTTGAATGAAAAACTCAGGGGAAAAATCTTAATAATAATATAAAATGAACT